CAAGTTTATACCTACTGTTATATTCGAAAACTTTATTCAGCTTGCAACACACTTCTGATAGTTATATGTATAAAATCTAAATAATTGTGAAAAATGATTTAAACTCTATCAATCTCTAGATTGTGTGGTTGGGGAGCAGAGCAAGTTGTGGAAGCGAGTGCGAGAGGGATAGTTATGGCGTGGGGGTGACCCAAGTTAGTTTCAGGTTGATATTGGTTTTTATGTTGACTTGAACCCAACCCGAAATTAAAAAATAATTGTTAAAAATGATTTAAAACTCTATCAATCTCTAGACTGTGTGGTTACGGGAGCAGAGCAAGTGCGGAAGCAGTGCGAGAGGGATAGCTTTGGGCGTGGGTGTTGATCCAAGTTAGTTTTGAGGTTGAATTGGGTTTTAGGTTGACTTGAACCCAACCCCTCATTTCTCTTAAGAGGAGGAAGGCTCCAAGCAAGAGAAGAGAAGAAGGATAGGAGGGAAGAAACTCCTCATTGACCACCGCCGGAATTCCGCCAGACCTCCAAGTGACGCTGGAATTCCGTCCGACCTCCAAAGTGACGCCAAATTCCGCTTGACTTCCACGGGACACCGGAATTCTGTCTGACTTCCACGGACGCTAGAATTATATCTGACTTTCTATGGGACGTGAAATTCTGCTTAGTAATGATAGATTCCCCTGACGCTGGAACTCTACCCAAAGTGACATCGGAGTTCTCCTCGGCCACCAACAGATGTCGACTTCTACCCGACTCCTGACCTTCACTCATCTTCAAGTTTCTACCGATGCCGGATCTTACCGGTTATCAGACTTTCATTGGACACTATCTGAAGATGGATTTCTTTTCCATTATTGGACTTCTACCCCTGACGTCGTCCTTCTAACATTCGTCGTCAGACAACAGTCATTCCGATCTCCGTCACCAGCCGACTACGGTCCTTCTGACTTACGTCACTCACTGACTAAAGTCCTTCCGACCTCTGTCGCCAGCTGACTACGGCCCTTCTGACTTACGTCGCTCACGACTACAGCCTTTCCCGACCTCCATCGCCAGCCGACTACGGCCCTCCTGACTTACATCCCCACAGACTACAAATTATTCTGACCTCCATCACCAGACTATGGTCCACCCAACCAATACGAACATGTCAATAGTGACTCTTATATTCACATATGTAATGTACTCTATAAAATGTACATCAAGCTAAGGTCTTCTCCCAAGGAAGGGCCTCATTTGTAATACAGCTATACTTAGTGGATTCATTCAAATTGGGCTAGGCCCTTGATTTTCCCCCTTTTTCAGGGGTTTCCACGTAAAATCTTGGTATCTCATAAATGCCTAGACTCTCTGACTCTAATTATTATAAACAATATTCATAAAATAACACTACATATGTAATAGCACGAATTTAACACATGCAAATATAATATTTTTTTAGGAATCATTATATGTCTAATTTGAAAATTGTTTTCATCATAAGATAGATTTTATTGTATTTCAATTATAATAATAATTCTACAATTTTTGGACACTGGTGTAAATTCTTAAGAAATTGACATTTGTCAGCAGAAGTGGCGATTTTGGAACCAACAAGTATGCGTTTTGCAATCGATTTCACTAATTACCGGCGGAATTTTTCGGCGGCTTTCCGGCGGCCAGTTTTCCGGCGGCTTTCCGACGGATTACCGGCGGCTTTTTGACGGCTTATATCCTACAAAATTTTCCGGCGGCTTTTCAAGGTTTCCGGCGGAATTTTTAAATTTTTTATTTGTTAAATTTTTAATTTTTAAAAAATGACTAAAAATAATATTATTTTTTTCCTTAATTTAAGTATAAGGATTTAAATTTAAAATTATTAATCATTTTATAGTATATTTTAATTAATTATTTAATTAATAATTTAATAACATATTTTAATTAATTGTTAATTAACTGGTTTATTTTAATTATCAATTAAAAAAATCTTAAATGAATAATGTTTTAATCATAATATTCAGCAGATTATAATATAAATAAAATAATACTTGAATATATACATTTTGCAGGATCGGCGCAGTGGTCAGGCGTGGGCGCGGGGAAGGGGAGGTCTAGGGTTCGATTCTCAGGGGGCGACAGGCGGAGCTGGCTAGTTGGCGCACTCGGGCTAGGTCAGGCTCACGCGAGGCGCGTCCCTGGGTCTGGCGGAAACGGTCCGGCGTGACCGCCGGAGCGCGGTACCTGGCTTGTCGCCGATGGGCTGGCGGGAGCGGCTGTAGGGGGCGGCGGGAGATTTTTTTTTATTTTTTAATTCAACCGGCTACCGGCGGTTTATGTCCGCCGGCAAGCCGCCGGAAAAAGCCGTCGGAAATTATTTTCCTACGCCGTTTTTTTCCGGCGGCACAAATACCGCCGGAAAATGAAAAAAACCGCCGAAAAATGCTCAAATTTCGTCGGAAAAAGCCGCCGGAAATGGGTGCTTTTCCTGTAGTGGAGGGAACTATGTCGTTACTTAAGCAGAATTTCACGTCCCATGAAAGTCAGATATAATTCTAGCGTCCCGTGGAAGTCAGACAAAATTCTGGTGTCCCGTGGAAGTCAGGCGGAATTCCGGCGTCACTTGGAGGTCGAACGGAATTTCGGCGTCACTTGGAGGTTAGGCGGAATTCCGGCGGTGGTCGAGGAGGAGTTTCTTCCCTCCTATCCTTCTTCTCTTATCTTCTCTTCTTCTTCTTTTGCTTGGAACCTCCTCCTCTTAAGAGAAATGAGGGGTCTATTTATAGATTTCTAAAGTGGCATGGGCTGTAAATAGGTGAAGGATCAGGGGTGAATCAGGAGTGGTTTGAATGGATTGCCGATATTGAATACCTTTATCGTGGATCGTTAATCAGACATTCAAACGTCTTAATGATGTCGGAATTTGGTGATCATGGGCTCGTTGGATTCGTCTCGTTGAGCCGCTCGATTTGACTATAAGATCGTTATGTTTGGAAACCGTTTGGTAACTCAAATTGTGATTCGAACCTTCCAACAACGCTTTAGATATTTGATTCGGACCTATTTGGGCTCGGATTGAGTTGAATTTGGTGTCGTTGGTTTTGTATTTCCGAGATGATCAATTCGACTGGAAGTTTGCTGAAATTGGAGTTCAAATGATCCTATATTTAATTTTTGAAGTTTCCAACTTGATTTTTCCTCGAGATTCGTGCCCGATCAAGATAATTTTATGATGAAGTGTCGTGTGTGTGTATATATATATATTAATTATAAAATATCTTATTCCACTATTAGAATCCATCAAGTGCCACTTAATTTAATAACAAAAAGAGAGGAGAGGGAAAAAGAGCCGTAGTGATATTTTTGCATGTCGGTTTAGTTCGGAAATTTGCTCGTCTCGAGGTAAGCTATAATTACTTTACATTTGATTTTAATGATTTTATAAATTTAATTTAGTCAGAACTTGCAAAACTTGCGATGTTTGGTTTTTAGCAAACTTTCATCGCATAACTTTGTATATATAATAGATCGTCGTGTCAACATTTGAGTCGACCTAAAATCGGACCCCACCCGAAAAATTCTAGGTTCAGATCAACATGGTTTGCTAACGAGTCGAGTTCATGTTTCAATTTTTGACCCATTTTTAATTTCGGGTTGAGTTCAAGTCAACCTAAAAACCCAATATCAACCTGAAACTAACTTGGGTCACACCCACGCTCAAAACTATCCCTCTCGCACTCGCTTACGCACTTGCTCTACTCCCGTAACCACACAGTCTAGAGATTGATAGAGTTTTAAATCATTTTTCACAATTATTTAGATTTCATACATATAACTATCAGAAGTGTTGTTTGCAAGCTGAATAAAGTTGTTCGAATATAACAGTAGGTATAAACTTGCATTTCAAATATGCTTATCAATTATTTAAAAATATTAATCTCATAAAAATTATATATATTTTTATTAAGATGATAAATCTTTTATATGATAGATCATGCAAAGAATAAAGTAGCATGTAACTTTATTTATGATCCTAGATGTGCACAAAAATATCAATATATACTCTTGATTGTTGTACTCATAATTTGTTTATTAATTATATTGCATTTGCAAATGACCTATTTGGGATCACTTAAAAAAAAACTTAGTTGATGTGTTTTTTAACTATTTTTTATTTATTTTAAAATAAATAAATTCTTTAAAAAAATACTAAAAATAATTTTAAAATGTTTTGAGCATTTTTTAAAATTACTATAAACAGTTGAGAGCCATGGCCCCTGCCACAATCATCATCAACACCATTGCTTCATTACCTCGCAAGTAACCAAAGCTTCATCTTATAAATTAATTATCATTGAATAAAATTCTTGAGATTATATAAATATAACATCTAATATTTAGATGAATAAGATTTGATTTTGTCTATTTTTTATTTCATTTATATACAATGTTTAAAAAAATTTATAGCTCTTAAAATTATTTAAAAATTTGGTATTTTTTATTGAATTATATATTTATTTTTTTATTATTTATTTTTAGTATCCAAATTAAATAGTTTAAGTATAACAAATAATAATTAATATTAATATCCATTTAAGTACAGCGTTCTTATTAAATGTTTTACTAAACGCATGTGATGAAGAAAATTATGTCTTTAGCAAATAAAAATTCATGATCTTATGCAATATCTAACATCATAAAAAAAATATTTAATTTCTCCCTTATAATATTATTTATTACAATAAATAAATTTAAATTGCACTTAAATCTAAATTTTGATTAGATAAATATTTAAAATAATACAAATGCAATATCTAATATCATAAAAATGCATTTGTTCTAAATTGAGGATATAATTAGTATTATAATTACTTGTAATGATACATTTATTTATTTAATATCTTTATAATAAATTTTGAATTAATTAAATAATATTTAAAGTTTTTAATATTATTTAAATTTAAAATATTATTAGTGTACATGTGAACTATTAATAATAATCCGAAGCCCTCGGCGTATAAGCAGCGCACGAGCGAAATTTCATCCATTCCGTTGTTTATTACAGTCCCTTCTCATTTCATGCTCACCTCTTCAACTCTTCTAAACCTCTCGCTATTCTCAAAACCCTAAACCTTCTCCTCCATGGCGGCAACCACGACGGGCATCTCTGGCGACATTTCCGCGTCTCTATCGGACAACAAAAGCGACTCTCCATCATCGCAGCCTCTCGAAAGCGAGGAAGAGGGGTTGGAGGCCGAAGAGGAGGCGCCCTCGAATGTAGAACAAATTAACGCAGCCGATTTCGAGTCTGCAGCGTCAGAGGAAGTGAAGAAATGGCCAGGATGGCCCGGGGAGAGTGTCTTCCGGCTCGTCGTGCCGCTTATGAAGGTTGGAAGCATCATTGGACGGAAGGGGGAGCACATCAAGAAAATATGTGAGGAGACGCGCGCTCGCGTTCGCGTACTCGAAGGGATCATCGGTACCAACGAACGCATTGTAAGTGATCTTTTATGTCGTCAATGCCCATTTTTCCAAGTTCTAGGGTTTTCGTTGATTTCTTTGTATATGCTTCTTGATTACTTTATTGAGCCACATTTGCGTTTATATTTTTTTATCTGGTAGTTTATTTTTCTATTTCCTGTTTTTCTGGTTTCACATTGAGATTAGTGTTTTACCCCTGCGCTTGAAATGATTTGCATGAGATTTCGGGATGAGTGCTCACTGAAGATGCAAATTATTTGGTTGTATCCTTGGTACACTTTCTTAGAGGTTCTGCGGTGCCATTTTAGATAAAGATAGGCATGGTAGTTTTAGATTTAATACAGACTTGGTTAAAACTGTTATTTCTTCCACACAGTTTGGTTCTAGGCTAAATCCCCCTTTTTTTAAGAAAGATTACATAAGGTATGTTTGGGATGACGGAAGAGTGCATCGTATTGTAAAGGTGGTTGTTAAGCAGTTGTGGGAAAATTACTCTTTTGAAAGCTCTTGAGGGTATTATATATATATAATGGAGCAACTACCACGCATTAGCAACTCTAGTTGAAAAAGTAGCTTTCCAACACAAAAAAATTATAGAAGATAGTGAGATAGCAGCAGACAAATAGAAATGTGGTTGCGGTTTGAATAGCGTAGCAGTGAAAGAATTGTCCCAAACAAATACTTAGTTCGACATTATAAAATATGGATTTTGTGTCCAAATGTTTCTCTACGTAGGGGGATTTTGTCTAAAAGTCTTAATAATGAAGTTACATTTCTCCATTCATTTGTCACCATCTGAGAGCCTTCGGGTTTAGAGTGTGAACAAACATGGGTTGCACATGTAGTTACTTTCCATTAAATTATAGTTTGATGATCAAGTGTGAATCAAAGTAGACGAGATTGATGGGGAAACCTTTCTATTTGATCCATGTTTTTTTTTTATGACGCGTTTTATTCTTCTACAATGGTATCAAAGCTTAGGTTGAAAGGTATACTTGATCTATGGATCATCCTCTTTTTCCCAATCTTTATCTCATTTCGGCAATAATGATTGAATATCTTTTTTGGTGCACGTTTTTTTTTTAAGTTGCCTTTAGTGGATTTCCAAATTATATTTTTTTTATTAGATGTTTTTTTATTTATCTAAATCTTGATATTTGAAATTGTATACTTGGGTGATGATTATGAGCACAATAAATTTTTGATCCGAAGTTGCATGAAAAAGTATTGGATTTTAAATAAATATATGTTTAGTTGCATCTGTGCAATCTAGATTATCTATTATGTGCAATTTAACTTTGATAAAACTAGTTTCAAAAGCTTGATTATTGACCTTATGATGCAACCAAAAAAATTATATACGAACACAAACTATGATTGCATAATAAAAAGATTTTTCTTCCTTCAAAATGACAAAACACACACTAAATAGGACACAACAAAGCGTCTAACTACTCTTAGAAGCCACCTCAAATTATATTAGGACAAGACACAACGCAACTATCTTGCAACTTACAAAATTTAAAGAGAAGAAAGATACAGATGGGGCGGGAATTGTGGATAGAGAAGAAGGGGTTAGAAGACCGAGACAAAATAATAGAGGGGAAGGGAAAAGGAGGCTAGCTTGCAAGTTAAAAGACCCGCAGGTTGTACATTCCACAAATTATCTTATCCATAATATATCTAAAACTACCACAGACAACCTTTTTATATGAGAGAAAATAACGGAAAAGAACAATACATATAGTGAGTTAATGCACATCCCAAAATAGACATAAAAACTCCTCAAAATATGATGTAAAATTGAAATCGAAGGGGCAGCCGCCATGGGGAAACCAAAGCATCAAAACAGTCCCAAAAGTGGGGGAAAACCGAAGCATTAAATGACTGATAAAGGGGAAACCGAAAAGGGCAGCTGTCAATTGGAAAAAAACGAACCATCATGGGGAAAAACGAAGCATTTTTTCATCAACCATGGGAGGAAAAACCGAGAAATCCATACAACTGATTGGAGGGGAACCTAAGCATCATGTGGCTGCATGAGGGGGGTATGACTTGCCTACATCACTTTATCTATGGTGAAAAGCTTGTGGCGCAAGTTGTGATGTTTGCTATCTGAATAGTCAAATCATTTTAATGAGCTTGAAGTTTTAGACACTTTGACTCTTGCCTTCGTAGAGTATTGAGAAGGACAAACAACCCAATATTGTCGTGATAAGGAGAGGGCGCAAATGGAATACAAAAAATTAGTGCATGAGCTTTATAATGATTACTAGCATGGATAATGATCTTATTGTTTGAGGACTTTGCTATATGAAATATGGAACTAGATAAAATGATTTTTGGGTAAACCACATCTACCAGGTTGCAGGCTTTGACATTGAAATTTGAACTTTTTGAAACATTCAATGTTGTAGGCAATTCTTTGATAGACGAGTAGTAAGTTTTTGTAGTCATAAAATATAAGATCCTTAAATAAGTTAGTTTTGGGTTTACTTCAAGCCAATCTTGATGCACAATGTAATTTATTTTTATTTAGTACATTTGCAGAATTTGGTTTTTCTTTTATGTTGAAAAATAAGTAGTTAGAATTTTATTTAGATGAAATTTTATGTGGACATGATATTTTAGCAGATGAATTATTTCAAATTTATTTTGAATGATAATTTTATTTCCATTACCTCTTAATGCATGATTGAATTCTATAATTCAGATTGTTTATATTGAAATTCTAGATTAGGTGATATTGATTAGAAGGGGATGATTAGATTAATTAGATTAAGATCATTGGACCCACTGGCTCTAGGACCGACCACTTACATGTTAGTTGTCTCTAGTTGATAAAGCATTTTGAAAACCTTTTGGTAATGCCTTAAGGTTTCAAAACTCTTTGTAGTGTGTTCAGTTTGACATCTATAGGCCCATTAGTATGTGGGTTTGTATAACATTGTTTCTTTCATTACATTTATTGATAATTCTGTCTATGAATTATTCAAGTTAATTTTGGATTGTAATTTTATTTCAATTGCGTTTGAATGTATGTTTGTTGGCATTAATTTGGATCATGTAAAATGACAGTAATCTGGGTGATATTGGTCAAAAGTGGAAGGCTAGATTTGCTTGAGTAGACTTATTAATCCCATTCGTTAGGCTCGACCTCCTTGCATTTGAGCTGAACTAGCTGGTAAAGCATGTTGAAAGCTCTATTGCAAGGCTTTAAAAGCTCAAAAATCTTTGAATATTATTCATTTGATAGATATAGGCCTTTGAATGTGTGGGCTCGCCTTAAATTATATATTTTTAAACATTTATTGATGATTATTCTCTATATAATTATGTAAATTGTTTTCTCTCAAAAATGAATCATTAGATTGTTTGAAGTGCTTTTTATTTGAAGTACTAGCTAAAGCAAAGGATCATACTAATAATGATTTAAAGGGTTTTGCACATATATTGTGGTTAATACTATTTGTTTAATCAATTCAGATAATTATGTGAGGAAATGGGATCATATTGACAAGTGGCAATTTCTTATGCACCATAACATAATTGAGAGAAGAAATTAACACAACCAAACTCCCAGTATAGTCAAGAGATACACACTTGTTATTGGTGCTTGCATAATTAATTGTGAAGTTCCCTTCACTCTGTATGGGTTATGGGCTTAGCAGAAATCTAATTTAGACAATTTAAGTCATTGGGGATTTATTGGATACTTTCAGGGTATTTTTCATAATTTGAAAAAAGTAGACACAATGATAGTTAAGCATGCCTTTATAAGTTTGAAAATTTTAAAGGGGTATTTAATCGATGGATTCCACTTTAATAGGCTATGGTTGATTTGAAACCATTAGATGTTTAATTTCTTGGGGATTTCTTGTTAAGTGTGGGGGAAGTAAAAGCGGATCTCAATTTATTTTAGCTGATTGATTATGAATAATTTTTACCATCATTTATCAATACCCATCCTGAAATTACAAATGATAATTAGACACTTTCTTATTAGTGGACACATTTTTATTGATATTATTTCATTATTTGATGACTCAAATTGATCTTATTATGAGAAGAAGTCAATGTACAATAATTTCATGTCATTGGTTTTTGGTTGAGGTTGAATCCCTTATTTGTCTCCTTTTAATCTGGATGACTTAGCTTATTATGAAGAATCACTTTCCATACAAACTCATGAAAGGTTGATAGTAGCTCCATAAAGATACTTGGTCAATCCTTTCGTTGGACAAAAACCTATTGGAAACAAGTTGTAAAAGAATTGAGCATAGGGTGGATGATATAGTTGACACGTATAAAACGTGCAATGTATCAACATGCTATATTCAACAATAAGGTGTGGACTATGAACATGCACTCTCCTCGATGGTGAGGATTTCATCAATTCTTCTAATTCCAGCCTTAGTTCCATGATTGGACCTTGAGTTTTTATAGATGGATATTAAGACATTTTTTCTCCATGATGGCATTGTGACATGGGAAATGATGCTGAGTTTGTAAGCTCAAATTTAGTTTATGGACTATGGATTAAAACAATCATCCAATTAATGGAATCATATATTTTATCAGGCCATTATATACAAGTGGACCATTGTGTATGTTAAACAATTCAATATAAACTTTGTGATTATATCATTATTGGTTGATAACTTTTTAATATTTGGAAATGATATGGAGAAGATTGTCCCCACTTAGTATTATGTCTTCTAGATTTCAAATGACAAACATGGGTGAAGTTGGCTTTGTGCTAGGCATAAAAAATGCTTGAGATCAGTCAAAAAGACCATATGATTTTCCCAGGAATTACAGTCAGCACACCATGCCCAATCTCAAACTAATGATTGACCATTTCCTCTCAAAGTTTTTGGACTACAGAGGAGTTGATAAAAATGCCAGTAGGTTGTTTTGCCATGAAAATCCCACATTCTCTAGCCATGCTCCCGTCAGAATTAAGTTGACACTTGTTTTGACGTAATATGACTCTTCTTTTTTCATCACTTCAGCTGCTAGTTCTTAATACCTAATCAATGGAACAGTAGCTGATGAAATAGAGGAACTTCATGTATGGACCGTTCAAGAAGCTTTTCTTCTTAATTTCAGGTTCTAATATCTGCCAAAGAAGAACAAGATGCCGAATTATCACCTGCTATGGATGCAGTCTTACGAGTATTTAAACGAGTCAATGACATACCAGATGGTGCAGAAGATGGTGCAGATCAGGCATCTGCTGCTGCTTCTATTGGCTTATTGGTGGCATCTTCACAGGCTCTTAACTTAATTGGAAAGCAGGGCACAACGATCAAGTCTATTCAGGAGAGTACTACTGCAACCATACGAGTCCTATCTGGAGGTATCTTGAATATATTCTTTTGAACTATTATGGAGAATTAGCTATGAAAACTTGGATGACCTTTCTAAATGTCTACCGTTAGAGGCTGCCTTTTTTTTTAGTATAGCAATTGATGTTTAAACAAAGATAGCATCCACATTCTTATTGTTTTTCGTTAGACTAGGAGAGATCCGGAAGATATACATAAATTTGTATTTAGCTAATGATACCATCAAGAAATGATGTTTTTATTTTTTCAGTTTGTGTTTTCTGCCCATTTAATTGTAAGAATAATATTGGTTTCATTGTACGGTGGTTTATCTTTTATTGCTTTTATTATTATTATTATTATTATGATTATTATGATTTTGGTGAATGAGGGCAATGTTTATTATTTATCCACACTGGGTTGTTTAGCTAAGCTGAACATGTATATATAATTGTTTTATTTTTAAATTGTGTCATCATTGGTAGTAAGTTCGATCCTTTTTACAAACCTATCCACATAAGCATTATCTTTGTGTTTATGACCCAGCTCGTGCGTGCTCATTTATAAATTTGATGCTTTCATATTGCAGTCTTTACCTAAACTCTCAAGGGTTTGTTCATTATCAGTTTGCTTTTTATGAAGATCATTACTGCCCCGGAACATTTTAGTTTTGTAATGTTACAGTTTTTTAGTTTTTTTTTTTCTTTGTTTATAGTTAACTATAATGTTCCTGATTTTCTTAGGATCAGGCTATATTACTGCGGATGATAATTTCCACGTAAAACATTTAATAAGATAAAAGGAACCATACTAATGAACTCTAGCTTTAGCTTGGCTAATGTTCATTGTTTTTACACAAAATTTAGGTGGGACGTGTTCCAAATCCATCTTTTTTGAGGTATGTAAACCTCTTATAGCTTGTCAAATGCTGATTTACTGGATATAGCACTATATTTCAAAATCTTACTAGTAGCTTGATTTTGAGGGTATAGGCTCTCCTGCTTCTTCTTTCCACAAGTTCTTGCTTCTTCTTTCCACAAGTTCTTCTTTTTACCATGGGAATCTTTTTCCTCCTTCCTCTTGTTGTGAGATGAGAATGCTCAGGTGTATGAGTAGCTTTACTCTTAGAGACAAGATACGAAATGAACATACATGAAAAGATCGGAGTAGCTCCATTGGAAGATAAGATTAGAGAAAGTCGCCTTAGATGGTTTGGTCACATAAAACGGCGGCCTTCCGATGACCCAGTTAAGAAAGTAGATATATTAGATTTGACTTATGTTAAGAAAGGTAGAGGTAGACCTAAAAAGACTTGTTTAGAAAATATTAGAAATGACCTTTCTTTATTGGATTTTAATGAGAATTTAACTTTTAACAGGGCGCAATGGAGAAAAAGGATTCATGCATCCGACTACACGTAGTGGGATTTTGGCTTAATGTTGTTGTTGTGTTTTTATGAATAATTTATATCATAGATGATAATGAGCTGTTAACATGATAGATGAGATAAATTAGACAAAAAAGTGATTTCTTGAAAATGTTAATATAGATTTCTAAATGCTGTCAAGTCAATCTCCTTGATACTATCATTTCATAATGTTTTTAAGGGGTCTTTGAATTTGAAAAAAAAAAATGCTTTTTTAGTGTCTGTAAAAACTTAATTGTGTGTTTATAACATTTCTCACTAGATGAACTCCCACATTATGCAACTGCGGGTGAGCGAATCGTAGAAATCACTGGTGAGTATCAGAAGGTATTAAAAGCACTTGAGGCTGTGGTGGGGCATCTCCGGAAGTTTTTAGTTCATCACAGTGTACTACCTTTGTTTGAAAAATTTGTAAGCATATTTCTATGCCGTTTTATTTAGCTTGGCATGCTATATGCCATGGTAAATGATATCTGTTTGGCGTTACTCTACTAAACATGCACATATTTTTTAGTTGACAATGCCAGCTGCTCAAGATTCTGAACCGGAAGCATGGGGTGAGAAAACGCAGGCCTTGACGCATTCATCTCATACTGGAATTGGCAAGCGAGATTCCTTATACCTTGATCATGAATACCAGTTTGATTCTCAGTTTCCGCACAGTAATCTTTCACTGTATGGGCAAGATCCTGCTTTATCTGGGCTGAGATCATCTGGGATGGGGCTGGGCCGTACTGCTGGTGCTCTAGTTACTCAGGTTTTTGTTTTATATTGTTCTTCTTTTGTTTATTTTGTTTTTTTTTAGGCCATGATAATTAGAGGTTAGAAAATGAAATGCAATTTCTTTAAGCTTGGTTATACAGTTGCATTTTTTTTAATAATGTACTTGAATAATTTTTAGTGTCTTTCTTTATTTTTTTTTTTTTCACATTTGGGATTGGCTTCTATTTTTAATTTCAGTTGCTTGATATTGTACAAATTCCATCCAATTTCCTCGAGTGAAATTTGATATACACTAAAGTATATGGATACAAAAATTTAACTTTTGGTTTTTAGTTTGAAGTAAGGTTTGTAGTTCATTTCCTTCGCAAATCTCTTGTAAATGTATCTAAATTAATTGCGGTTGTTTTACATCGGCATTTAAACCATCAAACAACTAGCTCATATGGTTAGATCCACTTTTGAGGTTTCGCCATAAAGTTCTTAAAGGTCTTAAAAAACCTTTTTTTGTTTTTTTTTGTTCTTGAAATCAAGGACTATCATGTAAACTATTTATAAAACCTTGACGTAGGTCATCGTTAATACTGAAATTTTAAGAGAACCTAATTGTCACCTATCCAATTGTTGATGAACCTATAGTTTACCTTTTTTTATTTTTTTATTTTTTTATTTTTGCAACAGGGTATTCAGATTCTGCCCGCCCTGGTTAAGGGAATTCTTCTTGTTCTTCTATCACTTTTACTTAATCTGCATGTAACATCGTATGCCCCCACTTATAGACGTTCTTTTTCTTAAATTTGAAGTGAAGTGATTTCTCTTGTTTGACGGGCTTGATCAAGCTGCTCTTGTTTCTAACTTTTTTCCTTTTTTTTTTTTTTTGAGTTGTTTACTTGGGCTGTTATTTATTTTGGATTTCAGGTGACGCAGACAATGCAAATACCATTATCCTATGCAGAGGACATCATTGGTATTGGAGGGGACAATATAGCATATATCCGTCGTACTAGTGGGGCAGTTCTTACTGTTCAGGAAACAAGAGGCGTGCCTGATGAAATTACTGTTGAGATTAAAGGAAATGCTTCCGAAGTTCAGAAGGCTCAACAAATTATTCAAGTAATATAATAATCGTTCCTTTCCCCTTGTACATTCCAGTTTATGAACTTTGTTTGCATAATGCTGCTCTATTATGCAAGTCACCTTAACTTGTCGGAAGCTTAGGCTTTCAAACAAGAGTTTTTGGACTTGAGGCATATGTGGTGTTTGTGTGAGTATATGATTAAGGCTTCGTTTGGAACGGCTTTTTTAGTGCTTTTTAAAGTAGCTTTTTAGTACAAAAATTTTAACTTTTAAACTAGAAAGCTACTTTAAGTAGTAAGAAAGCCGTCCCAAACAAAAATTCCAAAAGAAAATAAACCTGCTCCATACTGCGCCAACACACATCTTAAAATCCTAGCAATTATATACGCTTTTTTCTTTTTACAGGATTTTATCGCTGCGCATAAAGGCCCAGCGCCGAGCAGCTATGGAAGTGCTGATACAGGTTTGAGGTCATCGTACTCTCATTTTGGCGGGTCTAGCTATTCTTCATCCCTCTCTGCAGCATCACTCAGTGGATATGGATCTACAGGACTCGGAGGTTATGGAAGTTACAGATATGGATTCTCTGGATAGCTAGCTAATGAACTATCTAAGCACTGTCTCCTTGATAATGATTGCCAAACACAAGGAAACGTTGATGTAAAATTTTTAGTAATGAGTGCTCTCTACAAGTGCAAAAATTGCTGAGAACGCCTTATTTTGTGACCAGAACGCACTTCTAAAGTAGGATCAGCTTTTTCAGGTATATGTTTATTCTTTTTAATCCGGCAAAATGACTTGGTGGATTTTGCTTGCATGAATTCTACTTATCGAATTATGATATGATATTGCATATGGTGGGTATTACTTCCACTTTTTTTTTTTTTTTTTTTTTTTTTTGTTTTTTTTTTTTTTTTTTGTTAGTTAGTTTGTTTAGTATATGATACAATTTTTATGATATTAATGAGTATCATTTAATATTATTTGATAAAATTATTCTTACTTATGATAATTATGCAGATTGGATGAAAAGCTGCCCCCTTAGTTTTAAGAAAAGATTGACGAAACTACTCAAAATAAGTATATTATCTTAGTTTTTAGTACTTAAATCACCAAATCTGTTGTGCCTGTTATTATGACCAACCTAAGTGGGTAGCTATTATCGACAAATTTTCTGAGCTGATTTTATTTTATTTTTTTAATCCTCAAAATGGATAATGTCAAGTCCATATTTGAAATGACTTGTTTTTGTTATTTTTAAAATAACTTTTTGTAGGATCTCCTTTTTGTATTTCTTAGCTTGAACTATAGCTTTTGTATAGAGAATTTTTATTAGGTCCGAACACCTGATGTAGCTCTATATCCGGACGCCAATAAAATATTACTACGTGCTCTTACTCTTTACTGCGCGGCCCGACGACCCGACCTGAAACGGAAACCTAGTATTGCTAGGTATTGCTTAACAATAATGAGAAATGCCGCTCTATCAAGACCAATACTGAGCAATATCGAGTAATATCTAGCAATACTTAACAAAATCTGGGTATTGTTTGGTATTGCTTGATATTGATCTTGACATAATGGTATTTCTCGTCACCGAGCAAAACCTAGCAATACCCTCGTCTGTACAAATCAACTAATACATAATAATATTGGGTTTCGGTCCGGGTCGTCTGGCCGCGCGGTAAAGAATAAGAGCACGTGACGATATTTTATTGGCGTCCAGATGTAGAGCTATGTCAAGTGTATGTCAAGTATAGAATCCCTTGGTTGGGCTTAGGATGAAACTGATTTTCATATTAGTTGATATATTTAAGCTACAACTCTCACAATTCCCCCCAAAATAACAGAGGAAATATCAAATGTATACTATTTAACTTTTATAATTGTGATTGTAACTTGAAATAGTTGAGTGAGATAACTTCGTTTGTTATTACTAACATTTTTCTATTTTTAACATTCAAAATTTTGAATTAATTATTTTCAGAATCACGTACTTCCCAAAAATAAAATTTGAAACAATCAAGAAAAAAATCTTTACATTATTTTTTCATTCAAACAGAACTTTTTTATTCTTGTTCTCACTATCACAAACTATAACAAGTTGGAATTTAAGCCTTCAAATTTTAGGCAATAATACCAATAGATAATAACAAAAAATTCTAAATTACATATTTTGAAGACAACTACAGAAGCCTGCTTCCCATTTACCTCCTCAAAATACCAACAATACACAGGCATCACTAAAAAAATTATATGATGAAGAAATTTGATAATGAAGTTTAATAATACAACATTCAATTTAAGAATATCCGGCGTGAGTTATTTTGTTAAATTTCAGCTCAATTTGATATTAAAGAGTATGAATCCAGACCCATTTTGCTACAGAAAGACTAGAAATTGAAATACCTATAAACCAGGGATTGATTCAAGGTTGTATTTTGCCGACATTGTAGCTTCATTTTCCACCACCTCTTTAAGTTTGGAGTTGTCGATTGAGCCAAGAGTCTGCAAATAAGAATACGAAGCACTCCGTTTGGAAGGTGGGCTTGGATTGGTGATTCTGCTTGCTAGAAACCTACGAATGAGACCTCTGAGAAGTGGAGCCATAGTTTCTGGTTCATGCTCTAAGAAATACATTATTCCACCCATACACATGCAAAAGAGAGCAACCTGGAAGGATCACAACATATGAACCAAAATAAGCTTAAACTAGCCAGTTTAAGGCACAACAAAGGCGACAAGCGAGCTAAACGTTCAATGAGCTATTCGTTGTTCGGTTCGATTAAAACTTGTTTGTGATCGTTCAATTACCTAAATAAACAAACTTGAACAATATTTTAAATACTCAATCCTTAAAACTGGTGCATTCTTTATATAAGAAGGAATGAACCAAAATAAGCTCAAACTAGCCAGTTTAAGGCACAGCAAACCAGCCACAGTATTGAAAAGGCAAGAACAAATATTTGATCCACCTCAGACTTCTAATCTAGATGTGATAATATTTATTTAAGGCTTTGTTTGAGATGACTTTCTTCTTGCTTTCTAAAATAGCTTTCTAGTATAAAAATTTTTTGAATTTGAAAATTTTGTACTAGAAAGCCGTTTTAAAAAGCAATATGAAAATTGTTCCAAACGAAGCCTAAGTTTTAGATGATATAAAGGTTTACTCTATCGAGATAGTGTAAGCCTTCATTGGTGTCATGAGAATGACTTTTTGTATTCAATCCGATTATAGTGCTAATAAGTTTTCAATCCAAGAGACTAATCATGAAAAATATGTACGAGGTTATAAGCTAGCTAGCTTGAAGCACGTACACCTTGGAGACAAGTTAAAGTATGACTCAATCAAGACTTGCAAGATGCCCGAAGATTTGCTTAGTTTAAGGATTTTAGTTATAGCATTCAAGTTTGTCTTGGTAATTTTCACGATTGCAAGTTTATATGTTATTTAGGGTTTATTGAGTCAATGTTGTTGTGTTTAAGCTTCCAACACTCACTATTTTAGGCTTTTAGCATCAGATTCTTAATAACTACTATACAGCATTTTGACATAGTACTTGTTTTGGGAGAATTGAAAGACCCCAAGTCCCCTACTATCTCTATATCTCTCCACTTCCCTCTCTAACTCTCTCTACTAGCATGCCATAAGCCAAACGAATAGCTAATAATCAACTACCCTAGCCCAAAATCATCGTTAGTTATATCTGAACAATTTCAAGCCAATTTCATGAATTCTCATTCCCCCCTTGTTTCCAACTAAGTGTTTAATTTGTTCGAGTATTCTCACAGAAATTTAAATTATGGCAATCCACTCCTTTTTCTTGATTCTCTCATGATTCTTGTAATATGATCATTTCTAACTGTATCATTCCTAATTTTATCACATGGACCTTAATATTTTAGATATTTTCATAAACTTTGCATTCATATCCTTCTTTATTGTCCAATAATCAGATCCATAAAACACAGTCTTTAGTTGCATATTTAAAAATTTATAATCATCTCTGAATGATACTTTTATAGTATAATACCCTTGAAATTCTCATACATTTAATAACTAAGCTTTATCTATCGCAACCCAATAAAAAGGGCCGATTTTTTTTTTTTTTTCAAACGAACCAAGCTAGGCATCTTTTGAGAACTTAGGTCAACAGCCAGGTAGTTCAGGACTTGAATTCACAAGCAGAAATACAACCCACTCAAGCAAACTTAAAGAAAAATTCGTTTGTAATGGCTAATCATTGGATGATAATTTTCTAATTTTTACCAAAAGCCAAGATAAATCATTTTCTTTTAGGGGCAGTTTGGTTGGAAATTTTTTGCGTGTAAAGTAAACCAAACCCATGAATTTTAACTTTTTTGAGTGCTTGGTTTAAATGCAAAAGTAAAGTGAAGTAAAATCAGGGTATTCTAAATGCTTTAGCTTATTTACCACGTAAAAGGAAATCACTCGAGAATTATACATGACGCGTGTCAAAGAAAAGTCAAGAAAGAGGTCGCTACATCCTTCTTCCATAATCGCTAACCTCTGCATCCATCTTCTACAGTCGAACCACCGAATGCCACCGCGGAAGTTTGCGAATCTCGACCGTCACGGCTTACCTCGCACAATGCGTCGACATGAACGTTCTTTTCCTAGTTCGCCAACATCCCTACCCGTCTTGGCCCTATAGCTTGCGACCCAACAAAGCTCGCCTTCGCAATCACGATCATCCCTGCAGGTGGCCAGCTCACGGTGTCTGCCACGATCTTCCTTGTTCAAGAACCATCATCTGCTTCCCCACGACCTTCAATGAGAAGTGCTTTGAAATTTTGAACCACAGACCAATCTAAAATGCTTTGATCTCCATTCTACATTACATGGATGAATGCTGTGGAAAACTCTAGCATTTTTTTTTATAGCTTCCTGAAGTTGTTGCGCCTTCACATGATGCCAAAAATCAAACAGCTTAATAATATATTTCCTAATAATGATAAGTATTATAATTAACCAAATAAAAAAATCAATGCAGGAGAATCTGGAGCATTATTATAAATGTTTCTCTTTTAATCATTTTTTTTCTTTTTCTCTTTTTTGCATTTTTCAGTTTTCAATTATTATTGTATATAAATTTTTTTCAAAATCTCAAATAATTTTAATTGAAAGGAGATTCAAGATATTTGATCTAATTTGATTGCTTTTATTTTATTCTGTATACATCCACCCAAATATTTTCTATGTATTTAGAATGTATTAATTTTACTTTACTCTGCACATTGCCAACCAAATTAAAAAAAAAAAACAGTTCCCCTGCATTCACTTTACAATAACTAAACAACATCAAAGTATTTACTTTACATTACATTTCTCTTTTAGCAAATCAAACAAACCATCAATGAAATTAACTGTGAAGAAAAATTATAATGCACAAACAGAGGTACACAACCATGCACAAAGGTGATGAAATTTTTGATAAATAGAGAGCAATAACACAATTGAATCCGATATATAAAAAAGGCAATATTTTAATATGCAAATTAAAATCGTTCATAAATTTCAATTTTTTAACTAATTATGACAAATAATAGTAGTAAATAAACTAATATGCCCAATCATATGGTAAAGCTCTAACTTAAATATACTTGAAGTAAGAAAAACATCAATATAGAATAACATGGAGGAAGGATGAGCGGAGAAATGTAAGTTTGATATGATATAAAATTGAGTAAGAGTAGCATAATTTGTGTATAATATAAACATGGTGTGGTTGAGAATGTCCAAAAGTCCGAGTGTGTAAAGACCTTTAGAAATGTCTTCAATTCATAAATTAAAAGATCATTCTTTTTATTTATTTATTTTCACATTACATATGCTATAATAAGCTGAACAGCCAAATAATTTCAATAATTACCCACACGTAATGGCTAAGTATGTATTGGCTGCACTGCACAAGGTTTAATCCAGTCATATTACTCAATGAGTTTTTAATACAAATAGTCTAACCGTATCATTTAGGTGGTTTATGAATTACTAGGATCTAATTTGACTTTCTTTTGTTTGAGGGGAAGTGCCAAGGATAACCAAGCCCACATATACATCGCTCAACTATTTTGACTGACATAACGGTAGCAAGTTTCCTTATCTTGTAGCTACCAAAAAAGAAGCGAAGGGTGAACAATCTCATGCAAACTTGTAAAAAGGTTGTCTAACCAGCTCACTTGGTATAAATTCTGAACCATTCCAAAATCCAAGGCTACATAAAGTTTCATTTGCTGCAAACTATGAAAAATGAACACGTGTAGAGAGCTGTTGTGCCTAACATCTTTTGGGATAAAACGTTTGGACACAATGGACGACACATTCCAGTTTTTACAAGCGAAAAGGACATCTCCACCTCTTCAATACCCTTAGCCAAAACTACACTATTAGAAGCTGGTTATATCGCAATATCCTTTTTAATAAAGGTTTGTAAATTTGGTTTAGCTTTTATTTTAATTACGTCATAAATTTTCAATTTTAAAAGTTTCCACAGATTTGGTGTTCTACTTCAATTTTGAATTAGAATAGTTTTTTACATCATAAAAATAAAATATTAAAAAACTATATCAAAAGTAACTGTTTGATAAATTTTACAATTAAAGGTGCTTTTAAGAAAATGAAACAAAGATATTCATATTATCATATTATAATCTTATAAATTAGAATAACACGTAATAAAATGGTTCCTGAATATTTAGAAACATTAAGAAAATCAATGCTATTTTTCTAGGACGTATTTGCATTAATCTAACATTACTAAAATTGCTATTTTTATAATTAATGTTTGTTATAAAAAAATAAGTATCCATGTGTAAGTAAGATTTGCTTCTGAGATAAAAAAAAAAAAAAAAAAAAAAAAAAAAAAGATTTGCTTCTGAGATCAGTGGAAGATATCCAAGTATTATTGGTCACCCATGATCAGGCCTTGGAGATAGCATTCCCACATAAATTTATGATAATTATTGGCCTTAGCCCTAATCATTTGGGCAACTATTTTGGCCCATTTCTGCCAAAGTTTTCGCACTAAATGGGACCAATTAATTTATATTCCACTAAACCTGAAAAGGACCTATTTCAATTGGGATCAACCGAAACCAATTCTAAAAAAAAGTTTTAAATGGAGCCTTAGGCGATCGTGAAAAGTGGAATTTAAACAGATCTCAATTCTCCCCCTCTTTCTAACTTCATGCCAGTGACGTAGCATATTTTCAAAGTTTGTGCTTTACATTATGAATTTATGATAATAAGTTTTTTTTTTGTATTAATACATGCTTCAATGCACATTCTTTTTCTACTTTAAATTTATTAATAAAGAGAAACAATGCGTCCTTGGTGCATGTGTTCCATTTCCTATATACTTTTCGATGGTGCATGTTTATACCCCATGGTCCCTACTTCATATTGTAGTTAGATTCAGATTTATCTAAAGTCGCCAATCCTTCAACACAGTTGATATAATTAACAGCTATAAGAGTGTAGAAATAAGTGTCATGCAGAATAACTATACCTCAGCATTCTTCACATTAGGTAGCAAGTGGCGATTTACTATGATATACCACAAAGAATCTCCAGCCCGTGGAAGAACATACAATGCCAATTCAGATCTCCTACCCTTCTTTTCAAGAAGCACGGAGAGTCCAGCAAATGCTCCAGCAATCCAATATACAAGTTTGTGATCTTTAGTTGCCACCTTTCGGTGCAAACATATAACAGCCTACCATCATCCATAAATACATCAAGAACATGCTGAATGATCTACATACACGATGGAGAATTAGTAAAATTTACCTGGAATAATGCAACAAAAGCAGATAGAAAAGATGTGGAGCGGACAGCACCAAGAACAGCAATCCAACTGGTCTGCATAGGAGCCTTAAGAAACTAGAAAACAATCCATAGAAACCAATAAATCATATTTTTTTTGCAATTAAAAGACAAATTGCATGTTTACTTCAAATAAAAAATCAGGGAAAATTCAACAGCTTCAAAATTTCATATATACAAAGAACAACAAAGACTTGTGTTCTGAAATTAATTGCTACACAAGAAAAGTAAAGAAAATTTCAAATTCTTGCTAAGGATTCCTGATGAGCAAATAGCCTTAATCAACAAACTAGGCTTGCAAGGATTGCCCGTCTTCAGTTAATTCATGGCCAGCTTAGATACTCTCAATCTACTAAAAATGTTGGCTACCTTTGTTTATGCGGAGAATGGGGCAACTGAAAGGAAAATAGTTTGGGACTTTGAGCTTTCAACCACTATCTTTGAACCTTGAGTTGTTACTAGACATGCCAATTGCATCCGGAATAATGAGGAGAAAAAAGGGGGTCATCCCCTTCAACTGTGTAAACTCATTAATTTTAATACATTCATATTTAATTATGGCCTTTTGGAGATATCAAATATTAGTCTGTCCTATAGTTGGTTCAATCAGCATCTCAATAATACAATCAAATGCCTGCCTTTTGTAATTTGTAATGGTTAAATCAATATCCTTTTTCTCATTTCAAAGTTTTTCATCCTTGCAATTCATATCATTCACCAATTTTGCTCACATTTGGCCACCACTAGCTTCTCCAAAGGAGATTCATGAATAAGAATTATTGGAGTAGAATCCAATAATTCCTCACCACTAGCTTCTCAGTTCTCACAACTTCCTCAACATTATTAATGAGGCATGGAACATCCATATCTCAGGAGATCCATCTTTGCTCTTTGTATTAGACTCTATAATGTCAAGCTCAAACTTAAAAGAATATAGTCTGATTTCTCTATGCAATCACTATTGATAAGGACACTACCAAACTCGTTATGGGCAGACTCCAGCCTCTTCTCCAGAAGCATATTCATCCTATCCAGTATGCTTTCAATCATGACATAGATATTGTTGATAACATCATTCTGGCTAATGAACTCCTACATGACTTCAACGTGAAAATACTCCCAAATATTTCTGTGCTTTGATTAACAATAAAAAAGCTTTTGACAAAGTCAACATAAGGTTTTTCTATGATAGGCCTTGCAAATATGGATTTCCTTTAAATTCATTAATTCGATCATTGCTTGCACCTCTAATGTTTACTTTTATGTTATCATTAATGGCAAGCTTAGAGGATTTTTCCCTTCTTCTAGTGGCCTGCACCAGGGATGCCCGTTATCACCATTTTTCTTTACCTTCGTCATGGAGAATTCCTCTAGATTTAAAGACGTGTTTTCCATGAAGCTTATCTTTAGAGGCTATGATGGGAGAGTCTATATATCATCTTATTGATGTTGATGATCTTTTTGTCTTTGACAAAGCTGATAATATATCTATTGATTGTTTGCTCAATATCCTTCATACCTTCAAACAATCATATGGACTGCAAGTTAATATTCTCGAATACACCATCTACTTCTCTAAGGTCGTTAGTATAAATGAAAGAAACCTCATTTATAATACTTTGGGTTTTCAATTTTTTAAAAAAAACTTCCATGGTATTATCATGGAATCATTATTTCTAACACTAAGCTTGATGTCCATGAATGTGGAAAGGCCAAACACTTGGCTTAGTAGTTGGCAATAAAGATCCATATTTTTACTGGCAGATTTCCATTGATCAAACATTCTATTTGAAGCTGCATATATTATTGGCTCAGATCTAACACCTTACCTAAAGGAGTTCAAAAGAAAATCTCTAGTTTCATAAGTAACTTCTTGTACAATGATGGGGAGGATAAGAAGTTAAGAACTATATCTTGATGCAACACTGCTAAACCCATTGCTTATGGTGGTCTCCATATCCCCTCTATATTGATCATCTTCATTTCCTATGTAAATGCAAGCTTATATGAAGACTTAACTTATCTTACCACTTGCTTATTTAATAATTATGGCCCTCTATGAGATAAACCAAGTAATAAACCAACTTATTTTTTTAAATCTGTCTATGAGGTGGCTAGAAAGATCAAATCCCAGATTCCTTCAATGTGACTGATAACTGCAACTTCTCCTTCTTCAACGATCCCTAGCTTGATGATAAGTTGCTTAAGAAGCTATTTGGTATAAGTTTCCTCAACTGGTTCAATTGTGAGAAGCATTCTAAAATCACCAATTTCATTTAAAATGGTGGTTGGTATATGGCCCCTTCCCTAACTCTGACCACAATTTGTGCTTGCAACATATTCTTAAGATTGGGGTTAACACTAGCACCACTTTATGCAACTGGTTGGGTAAACCTATTTTTTCATATACATCCTCCTTTTCTAAACTATTTTATGTTGAGCCAAACTATTTTATGCTGAGACAAAAATAGATTGGAAAAAACTAATTTGGTTCAAAGGGTGTGCCATCAAATATGCAATGTTTGCTTCAAAAATCATCAAAAATGGGCTCAAAATAAAAGATCCCCTACTTTTGAGAATTCTTTCTGTGGATCCTATATGCACTTTCTATCAAGATAACACAAAACCATCTATTTACTATTCTTTGATTGCATTTACTCCTTAATGTCTTCAAATGGTGTGTTCCAGATCGGCAATTTTTTCATTTGAGATGAGCCTTTATCCAAGCTTTTTATCATGCTGAAGATTTTAATTGCAAAATTACATCTAAATTACTTTTACTGGCATCTTATATTACTGTTTTTGTCTATGGACGGAAAGAAATGGACGAATTTTCTCTGATAAACAAACTACTTTTGAGATCTTAACCTCAAGAATCTATTTTTCCATTTGATTAAAGAGTAAGAAGTGAAAATTAAATACTCACTTACCAGAAAGCATCAAGAATCTATACTATAATTAATGCTTGTTCTAGATTGGCTCTTTTCTCCTACTTGTTGGGTGATTTCCCAATATTTTGATTTTCTTGGACTTCCTGTGTTGCTGCTATTTTATTTGCTTTTGGAATGTTTTTGGTCATGAGGAGAAAGGGGCTTTACTGGAGTTTACTCTATACCTATGAATTGCAATTTAATTTATGGGCCACTATTATATGGTCTGGCTCGGTTCCATCTAACTTTATTAAATTCTAGGAGGTATATTATTGCGGGCTAAAATGTTATATATTATTCAATTATTGGAACTTGGAGAGAATACATTTAGAATGTGCTTCTCCTTGCTCTATTTCAACACAGATTTGCTTTGATGAGATAGAAGGTTACGGGATATCAAGACTGTGATGACAAAGATGTTTACCTCCGATGCTTTGGTGGAACTGCCTTCATATTATGGACTGTTTAAAAAATATATTTGCATGACTAACGACATCTCTTTCTTCATATTCCAATGTTGAGCCTACTTTTGTTACATTGTTGTTTATTTATTCTCAATCAGTTTCTTGTATTGCTAATAATCTCAAATTTTTATGCTAGTCTCTTTGGGTTACTAGCATCATCTTTTGATCTTCATGTACACCAAAATATAATACCCTCACAGGCTCACACCAATGAAGTTGAGTGTGGCCCTCAATATTTACCCCCACCCCCTGCCCAAAAAAAAAAAAAACAATTCAGGCTGGGATTTATGAATCCTCTACCACTACGTTCACGACCAATATTGTACAAATAGTATATGAACTGTAAGATATATTCTACCTATAGTATAAAACCAATTAAGGGATCAATAACATCTTCAGCACGTTATGTACCATTGGTTATTGGTTGGACCACTTGATAAATTGAGTCAATGTCACCAATAACAGCATATTAAAAGACATTGTAAATAAAGAATTATAAAGAAATTTAAGAAAAGTAGTAATACTTAATTGATTGTCCATTGCTGCATGTTTGGCGGGAAGCTTCATGAGATTTCTCACTATTGAACTGATCCTTAAGGTAATAATAGGCTCGAGTGAGATGATTACTTAGAATACGTGCATTTCTAGTATCTAAATTGTGAAAGAAAATACCTACATTACCGAATTAAAGGTGGGAAAACAAAGAACATCATTTTTTCAACCCAGCGGCATATAACTCACAGCACAAGGCAAACTTTTGAAATCTTTAATGAATTAAACCATTGAGTTAGGACTCTGAAATTGACTAACATAATGGCTAAAATACAATATAAGCGACAAAAGTCAAGGCAACCAGGGTAGATGCCAAACTTTGAGAATGTAAATAAAACCATCAGAATGTATGCATGTATTATAATAGAGACATGATGACAGTTACACCATGGTTCTTCATGTGATGATGATTCATATCAATCCAGATGGAATAGCCATTTGGAGTCAATAAAAAGAAAATGTACTAAAGTTTTTTGAGGGCTTAAAAATATGAGTTAAGATATAAATTAATATCAACATCATAAGATACCTTTTGAAGACGGAGAACAACAAATGGAACAAATGTCAGTGAAAAGTATAGTGGAAAAGTCTTCCTGAAAGTTAATGATGCAGCTGCAGCATTATGAGCTATACAAGAATCACTGTTGGGATGAATTATAGAGCAAGGTATTATGGAAGGATATTCAGTCAAGTTTAAATTGTTGGATCCCTTTATATTTGACAGGTAAGCAGACAGAGAAATAACATCCACCGGAGAACCTCTACAAGTGTCTCTCACAGCCTTATATACAGACTCTTCAACAGGTCCTGTCTTCTGAATAAAATCCTGATATGCCTTAGGCAAGCTCTCAGGCCGCATTACAAAGGCGTACATGACCTACAATTTTATTAAAAATTTGCAATTAAAAATCCACAGAAGAGGAGATATGATCATGTTGATAGAGCATATTAGAAAAATCTACAAAGTTAATAATACAATCATTTCCCAAAAAAAAAAAAGCAAATAAAAAACAGAAAGAAAAACTATAAAATGCATTAGCTAGATAAGGTTTTAAATGTTATCACCTGAGCAGAGACCAGAGAAAAGAGCAATGAATCTCCATGCTTCCAGTGGCTTCCCCAAAGATGAAATTTATTCTTTGACTTTGCAGAATTATATGTGCACTACAAAATAGAGTTGTGATAAAAAAGAAGTATAGGAATCGGATAAATATAATTTAGCATGGATTAACACGAACATATATTCACCTGAGCAAGCCTAGCCGCAAGGTATAAAGCAAGAGTGCGTCTCCTACTTGAATCATCTAACGCCAATATAGACAAGCCAGCAACAGAACCTGCTAAGATTCTGCTCCATCACGCCTTAAACTAAGTCACGAATATGGATGAGGAAACAAACATTGACCATATATTTGATAAAACAAAAGGATTTAAGAAGAGCTGCTAACACAACTGAAGAAAAAAAAAAAGGGTGACTCGTTAACTTACGCATTCAATGGCGTTTCTTTCCTCCTGAACTTTCTTAAGAAACAACGTAGAGCGTGATAGGACCCAGTAAAGCCACCAAAAAGGAAACCAATACGGCATGCTTCCTCTCTCACTATCAAGTCCTTCTCAGAAACAAGTTGCTGGCATTGGCAACACAAGCATGAGTTAACGGATTGTTCAAATTAAAAAACGAATACATCTTGTTAAATTCCGACGGCAGTCAACCACTAAATGGCAGTATTAAGCACATTAGACTCTTACTATTAAAGCTGTAGTAAGATCGTCAAATCCAGGCATAAAGCAAAACCACTAAGAAAATAGGTCATCAGAAACTACCCTAAAACAACATCGAAAGGAATCGGAAAACAGAATAAACCTTGAGATCAATGATAGAGGAATAAGAGCGTCGGCGAGCGAGTTTGAAGGCGCGGAGGAGGATGCCAATCCCAACCCTAACCCCATAGGAAAGCAAGAAGGTCTGGCAAAGGTTCCCGATGGCGTGAGCCACACATGACTCGTTGGCATGGTCGCACTCCGGCTGTTCTCCTTCTACGGATCCTCTACCGCCGCCGCCACGTCGTGCGTAGTGGAGCTGTAGCTCCTCGATGGCATCCTTCAGCCTCTCCTCGGCCTCGCGGAGGCGGCGCTCCGCTGCGGCACCATTTTGGAGGGAGGGAGAAGAGGGATCTTCGATCAGGGACGAAGGGGAAGCCATGGAAACCGGCGATCGGCAGACGGAGGCGGCGACGGCGGCATTAGAGAGAGAAGAACTCAACGCCGTATAAATGGCGCCGTGGGAGAATAGCGAGATGGAACAGTAGGATTTTATCTGGCGATTTGGCCGAGATAAGATGTACCGCAGCCTTGTTTAGGGAGATTTTTTTTTTTTTACTTCTTCAGCTAATCAAGATAAACTCACATAAATAATATGCATGAGCTTTATTGGTGATGACATTAAGATTTGTTCAAAAGATAATCGGGATCATCGATCATTCTTCATTGACATGCTTTCCTGTGCGTAAATGGATCATACAAATATTGTCAACCTTTTTGCTGTAGCAATTTTGGCTAAAGTTCGTATAGAACATATTTGTCAAATTTATTTTCAGAAGGTACCTGCATAATATTTAATATTTAATAATTTATAAAATTATTATTCAATTTTTAAAATTATTTATTTTTAAAAAATTAATATTATGTATTTATTAATTTATACTTGCCACATTTAAATCATTAAAAAAGACAAAAAAAAAAGTTAAAACTTTATTTTGAATTTTAATATTTTGCAAAATGACATTCTTGTAAATTCTTCATTTTGGATGACTTATTTGAAGAAAGGGTTAAAAAGGTGAAAATTTAAATTGGAGTAAGTTTTAAAATTAAATTAGCATTGTTACGGGCTAGAATATTCGAGGCGGTAAAGTAAAAATTAAAATGTTGGAACAAATGCGTAAATCACCCATCCCTAAATTGGCCAAGATGTAAATAAACTTCAGGTGGTTTTTCTTAAGTGTTAATTTGTTGCATTACAAGACTAATAGGTTGTTTTATGAAGTTGGTTTTTCTTGCGGGCTCGTAAGCTATTTTTTGGATTATTTTAAGTTTTTTTTTTTACGTTTTTTTTAATGTTTTATAAAGCAGTTTTTTAGTACAAAAATTATTTGAATAAAAAAATTTATGCTAAAAAACTGTTTTAGAAAGAAGTTAAAACGCGGTTGCAAATGAAGCCTTAGCTTCCCTAGACAATGTTGAAAATTCTGTAATTTGTTGTTGATGCTTATTATCTTGGATGTATTGTGGGTTTTATTATGTTCATAAGAATTACTCTTCTAGAATTTATTGGTTGCTAATTAGTTTGCTAGTGATGCTTCTTTTCCTCTTTATATTGCTTCTTTGCAAAGCTCTACATGGGTCCTGGTTGTCGGATGAAATGAAAATCAATTTCAATGTATTTTATTCTTGCGTGAAAAATTGGATTGTTAGCAAGGGTTATTGCCGAGGTATTGTCGCTGTAGATGACTGTGGGAGAGTGTTGCTTGATCTGGAATTCCTCAACGAAATGGCAGAGGCAAAGAACATCCGAAGTGACAACTGAAAGTGACATGTACACACGGCTTCTGTGAAAGATTTTGCAATAGTTGTTTGCTTTTTGACAGACCAAGAGATTAGGTTGTGTCCCAAGAATGTGTAGAAACCTTAGACTGATTTCCTGCCAGCTGAGTTAGCTGCCCAATCACCATCTGCATATGTACAAAGTTGAAGATCCCCGATGGTGAAGGGAAGACCAAAATGCAAGGTCCCTTTAATGTATCTGAGCAAGCGTTTGAAAGCTGAAAAATCACGTTGTGTAGGCATGCATGTGTTGGCAGACATAGTTGGTGGCAAACACAATGTCCAGACGTGTGATGAAAATATATTTAAGTGAGCCAGCTAATTTGCGGTAGAGCTGAGGGTCAGGGTAAGACGGATTGGAGGAATGTTTGGATGTGGATGTTGGTGTAGTAGGTGTTGGGGACGGCTTGCAGTCTGCGAACCCAACTGTTTAAAGGATATTGGTCTCATAATGTTGATGATGTAGGAAGAAATTGGAAGGCGTTTTCACCACTTGAGCATCGAAAAATTCAGGAGGTTGCTTCATATAAATGTGGTCAAGAAGATCCCCATGCAAAAAAGCATTTGAAACATCCAATTATAAAATTGGTCAATTGCGATGAAGGGCAAGAGTGGGTAGTATACGGATAATGGACATCTTGGCTACCGGACTAAAGGTCTCGGTGTAATTAATGCCGAATTGCTGAGAGCATCCTTGAGCTACAAGGCATGCCTTATAGTGATCTACTTGACAGTTAGGATGAAGTTTGGCTTTAAATGTCTATTTGCAGCCAAGAATCAGTTTATTGGTAGGAGGAGGTACAAGGGACTAGGTTCCTTGCTATTGCAGATCGAGCTGACATGTACGACTATACATACAGGTGTGAGTATGGATACCCAATACAAATCTATGATCCTTTGAGGTTTTTTTTTTTTTTTTCTTTTATAGTGAAACTTGTTGGCAAACTAGATCGGCCTTTTCAACCATTTAGACTAGGCAATCATCCCTGTTGATTTTGTTGGCTTTCACTTATGATTCTAAATGTATTGGAGCTCCTCATAAGTTCGCCTTTTTTTGTTTTGTTTTGTTTTGTTTTTTGTTTCTTTTTTGTTTTTTGAAATATCGAATAACATGACTTCAAATTTGCACCCTCCTAAAGATGAGCGAAATTCTCAACCATTGCTAGCTATTTTATTTTATCGTCTTTAAATCTATATTTTTTGTTCAATTTTGATTATCTACATTTGTAATTGTAATTACTTCCTTTTAATTTTTAAGCTATGGCCATGATCAATTTCTTAAACATATACTACTTTCAAAATAAATAAATAAGAAATTATAATATCACGATCATTTATTCCGACAATAAGATTGATTGAGACTATTGCCCAATTACAATAGTTGTTATTAATCACTAAACCATTTTAGTGACCACATTGTTATTTGCTAATTGCCTCTAGGGACCACAAACAAACTATTTTGCAACTATTTGACTGAATCATGACTAACATAACTATCTTAGTGTAAACATATTTATATTATGTTCATATTATTCTTATATATATATAGGAGAGAGAGAGAGAGAGAGAGAGAGGGAGAGAGAGAGAGAGTGGGCATATCTCACATTAAGAATAGGAGAGATTATTACATACGGAGGTTGGATTCATCCTGAGATTAATCCGGACGTGCCACGTCATCTAATGCACTATGCATTAGATGATGAGGTGCATCGGAATTGACCTTCAAACACGCCGAACACCACACATAATAATTTTTCCAAGAATAGACTAAACAAATTTAATTTGAATTCAAATAATGCCTTTTTTATAAGACTGACAACTAAAACACATTCAAATAATAGGCAGTTAAAAAAAATGTTAGTCTTATATTTATTTAGCTTTCATTGGAATGATATTCTTTTTTTTTTTTTGAAATTACTATAAAGAAAATAACTTTTTGAAGTTATTGTATAAAATAATTTCCTAGTACAAAATTATTTTTGAAAGCAAAAAAAATAATGATAAAATTAAAAAAATTATTTTAATCTGAAAAACAAAGTAATAAAAAATTATCTTAAATAAAATCTTAATCTAACCATGCTCTCTTGTCAAATTTAGTTTCTTTTCAAAAATACTAAATTTGACAAGAAATCAGTTTTCAGCGCACATGAGAATGAAAAATTAGCCTGCAGAAAATAAGATCAAATATCCATATGTAAATTGAAAAAAGATTTTCAATTCATACAATGGCCAATTTGCATAAAATATGTGCATAATATTAAGCTACTACAAAGGATATAATGTCAATAATGATAAGCCAAAAACTCAAATCAAATGCCATCTCAACCTTCAACTTAATAATAAATATACTGTCCACCTGTAAAGAAGACTTCAAAATGAGAAGTTATTCTCTATGAGGAGTCTGAACGAGAATCGTTGGGATTGCTGGATAATTTTTTAGTATTTGTAAATACTCAGCAAATATGTAGTAAACCATCAAATACTTAGCAAATACTCGTAAAATATTCAGCACCTGCTCACAAAATACTCAACAAATACTTACAAAACACTCATTGATACTCACAACTGAGTATTTGCTGAGTATTTACAAATTCGCTGCAAATACTTAATAAATACGCAATAATACCAGACGATCCTGCCGTCAGGACTCGGCACGTAATAATTTCTCCTTCAAACCAGATCTTCGTCGGTGGCACGCACAATGCGCACACTCATAGCTGCGTTCTTTCTTGTAAAAGCTTTAAGCTCAAAGACGCACGCATCTCCTACTTTCAAGTAGTTTTCTCGGACAAAAGTTTTCCATGTTTGCCTTTTAAATCCCCATGAAAAGCAATGATAACTGCAGATTACATCCCATTTCTTACCCTGGTGATTATGCAATGTAATCTTTTCTGGTTTGTGACTGAAATGCTTCGTGAAGAAGACAGCAGGTATTGCCTACAATAAAGATTATAGAATGTATCCATTTCACTTATTACATAGCAGTCTTAGCAACACAAGTTTGATTATATTGAGTTCTAGCTTGGATGTTTCAACAATGGTTTATACAGAGAAAAACTTATAGTAACATGCAAGCATATAAATGAACTTGAATCTTAGAAAACTCTGAATCCACAACAAGTAGTGAAATAAAACCAGTTGCTCTCATCTTACCATGAAGAAGAGGACATTAACTGCTGTGTGCTTCATAAGTCGGATAAAGTAAGGGCTTTCTGGCTTAATTGCATCAAAATCAATAGATCTCTTCTTTGATTTCAGTTTTTTAGCTTCCAAAGTCTCCTGTTCAAAGCAATGCATTGCAAGCTTGGAGGATCGATAAACTTTCCCTGTATTAACATAACGCAAAAGAAAACAAATTACAAGGTGAAAATTTTTGTTCGTATTTTAATGTCAGTAGAGCTCACCATAACTACTTTTTCTGTTGGGTTGAGTGGCTTCATCACTGAGAATTTCAATCTTACGCTTCTTTCTAATTGAAGATAATTTGTGACCTGAAGCCTGCTTTGCCTTTGACTTGCCAGTTGTATAGAAATTTTTAGAAGAATGAGAAGAGTAGCAATTTTCGTTTTGTTTTTGGCATCTTTCCTTGGCCACAGTTTTAGCATTTTCAGCTGGTAAGTGAGAAGCATCTCTAGGCAAGCTCCATTGTCAAAGATTTGAACTTGGAAGCTTGAGTTTCCACTGCATGTGAAAACTAAATATTCCCCTTCCTTTATTCCGTGGTCATCAACAAACTCCTTCCAGCCATCTATAATAACGAAAGAACCTGATATTTTCTGCAAATTAAACTGCCACAGTTTACCTTTACTAACTTCCAGATTAATTGTTTTAGAAAGTTCTCCTTTGAAATTTTCCACAAAATGCTTTGGGATAGCCTGTTGCAGGTGTACGAGTAACTAAATAAATATTTATTTCGGATATACCATGGCAGTCAAAACTGGAATTATTGCATGCAGAAAATTAAAAATTAAAATATTTTCTGTATATATTTATCATAGAAGCATTTTGCTTTTCTTATACGAAACATTAAAAGCTCAGGCTTACCATGCCTTGAGAGAAATCCTTAAGCATAACCTTCATAAAACGATGGTTTGTCAGCTTTAGATGATCCCAATAATAGTGCTGCTCCCATTTCTTACAAAACCAACAGCTTTCCTCCATTTTTGAAGGACTCTCCTTTATACAAACAGTACAGTACGTGCCACTTTATATTAGTTATTTCTTGGCAGCAAACTTTTTTTGGGATATGATTTATAATGTATTTCTCCTTGTTTAAGCAGTTTTCCCAGACCTCACAAATAACATATTTTGGATCATGATAGAAAGGTAAGTCAAGGAAAATATTCTCAGTTCTTTTTTTTTTTTCAGGAAGTAAAGAGTTCATAATAATAATAGTCAGCTTCTCACCTTCAACTCATCCAGATACTTCTCGGAAACTAAGCAATGCAGATAACTGGAGAAGTCCATTGGTTGCAGAAAATGGTTGTAAGGCACAGATAGGTAAAGTTTCTTTAGCAGTTTCTTCTCTTTTTATTTTCTCTGGCGGGAAGAAATGGTATAAGATGCGCCACTCAACGAAAGGATAGTTTAATGCAGGAATAATTTCATAATGCCATTCTTCCCAAAGTAAAAAATTACTTGATCTTGCACTCCAGCTTTATGTCCCAATCAATAAAAGATGGCTTCCATACCCCCTATCAAGTCGAAGCGCAAAAGGGGGAGAAAAAGATTTTAGAAGTGATACTTCTTGGAAGAGTTGAGCATTATTAAAGCCAAAGATTTTGCATGAGTTCTCCAAGTATAGATTTTTATAGCCTTTGTTATTTAATCTAACGTAGCACATCAATGCACCTATTTTGGACAAAATATAAAAAGGAGGGTCATATAATCCCAATTCATTAAAAAAAGCATGTTTGATATAAAATTTAAAGATGAGTAAATAAATAAAATGTTTTGATATTTTTGAGAAAATATCAAATATTTTGATGTTTTTAGGAAAAGGCCAAAGCAAATGCCAAAATATTTTACTATAAATATAAAAATTTTTAACATTGAAATAGTTTGCTTGAGATCAATTGGTAAGTCTTCAACCATTCCATTATGAAACCTAAGTTCAGATCTCATATAAAAATTTGCAATATTAACTATAACCTTTTGAAGTTAATACTAAATTTGATACATGATATTTGATATAATGTTTAATATAATGGCATCATTAAATATTTCTTATTATATTAAATATTTAAAAAGCTATAATGTCATATATTTATTAAAAAAATTATGATAAATTTATAAATATTTATAGTTATAAATTTATAAAAAAACATATTTATTATAATTTTAAGATACTAATAAAAATGTTAAAAAGTTATATTTAGTATGTATTTGTTGTATATTTACTGTGTATCAAATTTATATTTATTACAAGTAATATATATTCAATATAAACTCAATACACAAATATAATACACACTCAATGAGTAAAAACACCATAAAAATCATTTATATCTTTGAATCCTAACTTATGAAATGCAATACACACTTGATACGTAGTATACATTGGGGGAAAATATAATTAAAATTGTTTTCTTCTATACACAACGTACAAGTTCAAAAAGCATCACAAAATGAACGAAAATATCATTAAATCCTAACTTTTAAAATGCAATACACAGTCAATATACTATGTATTGGAAAAAAAATTCAAAATAATTTCTATTCTATATACATGGTGGTGTATAAGTTAAAAAAAAATGAAAAAATAAATATTGAACTTTCCTAAATTTATTATTTCCCATAAAATTTTACATAACTTATTTACAGAAGCATGTCTCTTTGCAGCATTTGACATATAAATCATTAAATAATACATTCACAAAAAAATTTATCCTTAAAGCATTAATCTGACATGTTTGAGGACTTGATTTGCTTTAAATGCAAAAAATGTACAGTTGTAATTGTTTTTATGACAGTTTTATCTGCTAAAAAAACTAAGCTCGATAAAATGTACATTTACATGAAACATAATAAAACTTGTGTAGAGTTTCAAATTTATCGATAAGTTAAAATTATCCATAGTACATGTAAAAATTTCATAATCAAATTTGAAAGAATTATATATTTTATCATATTTAAGTAATCAACTATAGCTTCTATAAATTACCAAAAAAATAAATCTATATATAGTGAAAGTAACTAATAATCACATAAATCAAAATATTGCACTATATTTATTTTCCCAAAATTAAAATACAATAGTTAGGATATTAGTAAAATTATTATTCTATTACAAGCTCCTAACTACAAAAGAATAAAAAAAATGTATAACAAAATTTAAAGAGGAACATGAAGATCTTTATTAGTATCACTGCTCACGATTCGGACCCCTTTCGTGACTTTAAATCATTAAAATAAATATAATAAGTTAAAAAGTCTAGCATGAAACCAAAACTCTATTATTATTTTTAATACTAGGTAAAATAATTAATCAAATTGTATGTTTTAGTTCTAACCCATATCAATCATTATTTAATAAAAAAATCAATATATTCAATGAAATTAAAGGACATATGATAAAGAGTATTATCACATAATGAATCATATTGGTATACTGTGATATGTTGTATCAATATTAATGTCAGTATGAGCTATCAATCTATCAATCAGTATAATATATTATCAGGTAAATATTATAATGATTATGATTATAAGAAATAAGGCAGGACATACATCTTTAATGTGGTATTCATAGCTATCCATCATCTTATATTTCACTTATTTTTCCCAATTATTCATTTTTATAGATGACTTTCAATAATCATTTAATTAGAGTTGGCATCCTGATCTATACGTAGACATAATTTAGTCAATTATTTACAAGCTAACACCACTAGCCTTTTTTCAAAGGAAACCACCCTTATTCGTATGATATTATATTTTAGGAACAAACTCATATTCATTATAGTATTAAATATTAACATTTCTTGCATGCATGCAAATACTATCTTTTTTTTATGTAATATAAGACACTATCATGTACGAAATATAAAAATATATGAATACAAAAAAACTATCAAATTTGTATACTATCCATTTACTTCAAAAAATCATATATTTTAACTTATTCAGTGAAAATTCAATATGTTCTGGTTAAAATGTTCATGTCGATGATATCTTTTACATACAAAAAGTTATACGGGAAAATTTTTACTATTACAAATTTATTCTCATTTTTTTAATAGAAATAAAAATTTATTCAGAAAATATCAAAAATATAAAATTAATGAAAACTAAAATTGGGTAACTACCTGCTGGGCTTTGTAAGCTCATTATATGTGGTTAAAATTTCTAGGTCCGAGCAAGGCAACTGGAATGGAGTTCGATCAGAATGTCAGACGAATCCTTTCACTATTTGATTCTGGGGCATCACAACAAGTTTGGTTAGGATCTGAATCATTAGGTTACATTCAAGAGGTAGTCTTTGATGATTTTCCTCAATTTTGTACCGGATGTAAGTGTATTAGTCATTCTCTATGTAACTGCCGTCCAGTCAAGCCTGTTAACGAGACCTCTCTCATTCACCCGTGCGTTAATTTAGATGCTATCAATACTGAGATTGTTACGTCTCATACGGATTTGGAGTGTGAGAATGCTAATGTTGGGCTTCTCCCCGTGGCTGATTCGGCGGATGCTATCCCTGTTGCTGGGGAGGATCCTATGACTTTGACGGATATGATTGTCGATGAGTGTCGTCCTGAAACGACTGAGTTGGTTTCGGCTGGTGTTCCCTTAAATGTTGATCCTTCTCCTATTACTGTTGAGCCTATTTCGGTATCTGTTTAGGATGATTTAATTGAGAATGTGTATGTTATGGTGGATGTTAATGAGGGTGTTGGACGGTTGGAAAATTGTTGTGTAACATCTAATGTTGCCACGATTGGCTTATCTCCCAATGTTGTTCCATTTTTTCCTCCTACTTTACTATCTTTGTCGGTTAGCTCTGCAGAAATTTGTGTTGATGGGCTATCTCCTGTGAATCCTTTGGTGCCCGTTATGGTGGAGGCTGAGCCTCATGAATGCATTTTGGTGGTCAATAAGTTAATCGATGTTCCTGTTAATTTGTTTGATATGCGGAATTTGGGCGCTAACTTGGGTGATAGTTCTGATTTGGATATTAGGAATCCTATTAATTGGTTGGATAGCTCTTCGGATGGTGACCCTGCATCCGAATTTTCAGATGGTGGTTTGGTTTCTCCGAATTTCTGTGGGGGTTCGGACCCTGGTAATGATTTCACTCTTGTTTGTTCTAGACCCACTTTCAATGTTAGCTCTCGGGGCAGAACTCGTGGCAGAGGCCGGCGTAGGCGATAGTTTTCGTGTTCTATTATTTGTCCATTGCTCTTATTTCGTATTATTCTGCTCTTTTTTGTTGAACGAAAAACTGGTTTTGTGGGATGTTGGCAATGATGTGGTTGGGGCTCGCGTCCCTGCTGCCTCGTTGGTGGCAACCTTTGGTGTGGCTTCTCGGGTTGGTTCGTAGTTGGTCTCGCCTCCACCTTATTGGACGGTCCTTGCGTGATTTCAGTGACGTTGGTAGCCTCGACCGTTAACTGAGCTCGACCGTTAATTGTATTTTTTTTTTTAATTTGTTTTTTCCTCTTTTTTGTGTTGTAACCGTTGGTTTTTATTATTAATGAAATTGTTTTTTTTTTTTTTTAAAAAAAAAAAGTGGTATGCATGTAGATCCCCTATTTTTTAAACACTAACTTTATTTGCAACAATCAATAAGGGCCTACACACATTTATCTAATAAAATAATGCCATGCAATATATTAGCCACCATTGCTTTAAAAAATAATAATAATGGAGCAATAATTAATTAAAAAAAGAAAAATATATGTAAAAAAATTGACCGATAAATTAATACTTTAAATGTCATCCCACAATCAAATCAGGCGAGCTCAAGGAGGCCATCTGTTGTTGACGTGGTTGTAGTATGTCGAGTCACATAATAAAGTGGTATGTTAATCTACGGGTTTTGTAAGTGTAATATTAACTTGCCGTAAATGCTACCTCATTTTTCATACGTTGTGATGTTAAAATTAAAATTTTCATTATTTAATTTGCTTAAATGCAGTTTTGAATAAATTTTTTTTTAAGGAGAAGCCAGTGCTTAATTTAAATTAAATAAGGGAGTATAATATTAAAAAAATTAAAAAAGAAGCAAATTAGTCAAATAAAATGATGCATTACATTGAATCCACCAAATTATTTGAGCGTATTTAGAAAAAGCCAAATAATTTGACGCTTTCAATGGAATGCGCCATATTCTTTGACGCATTTTATTGAATGTGCACTTTAGTCTGACTCATTGATACAATTCTGCAAAATTTAGGGCATACATGATGAACGTGGCAATTTGTTTGACTTATCTGATTTTTTTTTTAAATTTTAAAACTTACATGCTCCTTATTTAAAAGGATCTATTTTGAATTGGGTTTTATTACCTCATGATATATTATTTTAAGAAAATTAAGTTCACGTGCACGTCAATTTGTCTCTTTAAATCTTGCTGCAATTACTTCCAATTAGATCTGGTTAAAAATGTTTCAATAGGGTTATAATGAGTCTAATTAATAGTTGATCATGATCTAATATCCAAAGATACATACAATAATTGAATGCGTCTTATTAGGTCAGGTGACTTGACGTAGCTCTACGTTCATTCGCCAATTATATTTCGCCACGTCTTTTTACTTTTTACTGCGCGACCCGACTCGGACCGGAACCCGAAATTGCTACGTTCGCGTATTGCTCGGTATTACTAGGTATTGCTTGATAATAACAAGAAATACCGCTTTGTGATGACCAATACCGAGCAATACCGAGAAAAACTCGGTATTGCTCGGTATTGGTATTCACATAAAGGTATTTCTCGTTATTGTCGAGCAAAATCGACCAATACCTAGCAATACCGAGCAATACTTGAACATAACAATCCCGAGTCCGTTCCGGGTCGGGTTGTCGGGCCGCGCAGTAAATAGTGAGAACACGTAGCACTATTTTACTGACGTTCGAACGTAGAGCTAAGTTAGATGACCAGACCAAATAAAAGTCCCAATGGAACACAACAACATTTTTAATTTAAGATTAAATAATGTCTCACATGTTGCCCTTTAATGGAACACACCAAAGAGCCCCTTAACCAGTTTATTTTTACGAATTCGATTTATTTATATTTGAAAATTATTTACCATTATTTTTAATTAAAAAACAAAAAGAAATTTCCTTCTTTCTGGGCTCTGCCGCTCCTCCGAAAGCAAAAAAGCCTTTAACCGCAGCCACGCGGCCAATCGTGGCGGTCAACACACCACCACCCACCGTGCCGCGCTAGGCTAGCGGGATGGGCCGCCCGCGTCCCGGTTGGCGCGGTCTCGACACCGCCCGTGTGCGCCGCACCCCACACCTCCCCACCCCCCCTTACCCCCAACCCCATCCCCGGGCGGTCCCCCGAACCCATGCCTCCCTTCTCATCAAATACTCCGCACAGCCACCGCCATCTCCACCTCTCTCAGCTCCCAATCCTCTCTCATGGCCTCCTCCTCACCTTCCCCTGCAGTCGCTTCTCCGCCGGAGCCGCCTCTCACCGCCCCCCAACCCACCCGCCGCGGCCTCCCTCCACCCTGTTGGTCCCACGACGAAACACTAGCCCTCATCGAATCCTACCGCCACAAGTGGCACTCCCTTCGCTGCGCCAACCTTCGCGCCGCCGATTGGGACGAGGTCGCTGCCGATCTCTCTCGACGCTCCTCCCTCCTCCCCTCCGCAACCCCTAAGACTTCCGTCCAGTGCCGCCATAAGATCGAGAAGCTCCGTAAGCGATTCCGCTCCGACCGCCTCCGTTCCCTTACTCTCCGCCCTCACACTCCTCCCTCCTCCTCCTGGCCATTTTTTCCTTTCATGGAATCCCTTGAACAACCTCCTTCCGCTTCCCTCTCCGGTTCACCCTCCCACTCCGACGACGCCGATGACTCCCGCACCATCCGCCGCCTCGTCTCCAATGGCGAAGGGCTCAGATTTACCGTCCCAAAGGCAGTTCGGTCCAAGAAAATGAACCCTAGCTCCGGTGGCGGAAAACTGAAGGGCGTGTTCTCCGATGCTGGGGTGAAGCCGGCGATGGAGGAGATGAGGCGAAGGCTGGAGAGGAAGAGGAAGGAGGAGATGGAGGCGGGGACGGCAGGGGGGATGGTGGAGGCTCTGAGGATGGTCGGCGATGGGTTTATGAGGATAGAGCAGGTGAAGTTGGATATGGCTAGAGAGACTGAGAGGATAAGGATGGAGATGGAGCTGAAGAGGACGGAAATGATTATAGATTCACAGCAGCGGATTGTTGATGCGTTTGTGAAGAGTTTTGTTGGTGGTGTGAAGAGGAAGAAGGGCAAAGTTTCTCCAGATAGTTGAAATTGAGACGAGTAAGATTTTCATGAAGGGATGGATACAATTACTCTTATAAGTTTGTTTTGGGACCTTTTTTTGTAAGAACTTTTTTCTGGAACCAAATTATATGTATTTGTTCTCCTAGTCGTGTGCGCTTTTTCTGATTTTATTAGAATACTGAATTTCTTTGTGGTGTTAAGCCATCGCATAACTAGGTTAATGTAATTATTTGTTTTATTAACCTTATTTTCATGGGTTCCGTGGTCTAATGCGACACTGGGTTTTTGCACTTTGTGGTGCATTTAAGTGATCCTTCATTTTTTGTTATAGTTGCTGCTCTGTTTAACTGGAGAAATTATTCTGTGTGGAGTCCGAACGTAGAGGATCTTCTGGATTACTAAACGCATTGTGTACGATCAGCCTACGCTATGCATATTTGTAGATACGTAACAAATAAGCAGCAAATCCTCACAACTAATTATTTGTTGCTTATTTACTGCGTATCTACAAATATGCAATATATACGCAGAGCTTACGCAGTAATCCAGAAGATCCTCTACATTCGGACTCCGCACAGAATAATTTCTTGTTTAACTGTGTATACTGTTGCTGAATTGAAGAGTATGCTTGCCTGCGTGGTGAGGACGAAAAAGTTTACTATTTTACAGACTCAATTGTTTGTTGTTATTTCTTCACAAGGGGTGACTGACTTGCAATAGTTCTCTTTACTGTTTCAGGAGTTGTTTCTTTGGTTTGTTTTTTGTTTTGGAATTGTCATGTGGCAAGCTTTGCAACCGGCTGCTGGTTTGCGAGGCTTTTGATCAACTACTCAGCTGTGGTTTTGATCTTTTGTTACTGCACATTTTAGTTGTTGATATTGTTAAAATTTTCTTGCGACCTCAGCTGCTTATGATCATGGCTTCTTAGGTATAGATGATGTATCCAAGTTATTTAACTGTTGCTTCTTCCCTGTGATATTTCTCATGCTCGTATACTTTTTCTGGTCCTTTTTTTATCAATAATTGACATGAGTATTAGTTTTTTTATTTGTGAAAATGACTATTGATCACATACATACTATTCAAGTAAATTTATAGAACCTAAATGGATATTTCATGTGCTGAAATATTTGCATTAGTGTAGAGAAGGCACCTTTAGGAGACACCATTACTCCTGATGTGCTTATGATGGAGGTTTTTTATTTTGTTATTTCATGTACTTGTTTGAGTTACCGATTTTGACGAGGTACCAATTTTGATGAAAAGTATAACTAAATACACTGGCATGGTAAGAGCTGGGTCCAAAATTGTTCAATGAAAAATAGGCTAAACTCTACTTGAAACATTAGATTATCAGGTTGGATTTCATCTCTTTTATCTCTCAAGTGAATTGTTATAGAGAGCTTGATTGGATTCTTCATAGAGAATGAAGAACCAAGATGTGCTAAAATACATGAATTTAGAGAGAGAATTTTAAAATCATGGAAAATTGTTTAAAACACATGACGCTTGACCCCTTATTCAGAGGTAAAAGCTAAGGTTAGTGACTTGGTGCTACATTACATGCTACACGAGAATTGGAATACCAAAAGGGTAGTTGGATATATGTTGTAGCCAGTACAACAGTTGAACAATTGACATCTTGTTGAGACTCACTTTGACAATTGTTGTCCAGAGATTGACAAGAATAAGGCTTCATTTGGGACGGTTTTGTTATCGATTTTTAAAGTAGCTTTCTAGTATAGAACTTTCTTGAACTAGAAATTTTTGTATTAGAAAACTATTTTAGAAAGCAGTAAGAAAGCTGTCCCAAACGAAGTCTAAGTTTGTAGAATGATTACCATGGGAGAGTATTTGAATTTAGTTGTTTATCAGGTATGACTCTAATAGGAAGTACTTGAGTCTGCGAGTAACCCTAAGGGTAATATTCGAGTTCGCAAGCAAACCTAACAAGATTAGGTTGAAACAATGAAGAAAACTGCTGTTTGGGCAACCAAACAGCAAACCACAGCAGTTTTTCTTAAGAAAACGGAAGAATTTGAGGGAAATAATAGAGAAATCCACCAATAGATGCAAGAAAACAACAAAGATACAACTTCCTTCAATTCAAGAGAAAGGAACCACTCTCCAAGTCTTTAGCCAAGCCTAGAGCCCAAAAACACAAACCCTAGATCTCAAAATTCAAATCAATCTCAAGATGAAAAACCCTAATTCTACAATAATCACTAATTGAAGACATAGGAAGATTATAAATTCCCTAAACAGCCCCTAATTCAAAATTTTCCCTCAAAACAAGCATTAATCAAGGTGCGGGGCCCAAGGGAGTGGCCGGCCCCCTTTCTTCTCATTCTCTTTTAAAACCTCCATGACAATTTCTTGATGGTACTATCTTATATCACATTAAATTTGATCTACTAAAGAATTCCTATTTGCATCTCTAAACAACAAGTTTTCAAAAATTAGCATTTCTCAACTTTTAAACTCCACCATCTCCTAGAGATTTTTTTTTTATTTTACTAATTGATTTCCTTTTGCACTTGATATATATACAATCATAACTAAAACTGAATATTATGTGGTCAATGAAACTCTCATCTAGAATTACCTTAAGATCTTGGCAAGAAGAGTTTCCTTTCCTTGAGTAAAAGAAAAATCTATTTATGATTTGTTAGATCCACTTTGGCAAGTAATCAAGGGCTTGCTTTTCTTGTTTTAAAAAATGATGCACATGTTAAGAAACAGGTTGTTTAGTTCTTTTAATTTTTTATTTAGAAGAAAAATTATCGTGTTTCCAAAAATTCTGAAGGCATCACATGAGGCAATTTCATTCATTTCCAAAACATTTATCATGAAAAAGAAGAAATAAATAAACATCCAAACATGTCTCTATTTAAATTGAAAAAGCCATAAACAAAACAAATAGAAAATAAAACACAAACAAAAATGGACAAAGTGTTCTTATCAGTTTTTAATATATATATATATATATATATATATGTTATCTTAAGACAAGGTGATATAGTAAAATCAACTAAAGCTTCTTTTATAGCGTTTATATATCTTGTGATACAGTAAAATCAACTAATGCTTCTTTTATTGTATTTATATATCCTATTCCATGCCTACAACTGCATTTATATCTCATATTTCATCTTTGTCATGAATAATCTCGAAGTTCATCCTACAATAACCTGTATGTTCATTTAAGTTACCTCCAATTAATATCATTTCTTCCTCTAGCATATGATGTAGTAGTTCATTCATATGTTTCTAAGAATGATTTTTAAATCAACTCCTAATCCAGCTTAAGAAGCACAAGCACTAACTACATTTATAATGTCAATGCCAATAATCATCTTAATAGCAATCACCAAAAACCTATTCATCTCATAAATTTTATACTTAGCTATTAAACTTAACAAATCAACATCCATGAGTTTGTTACGTTGGCCCAGGAGGGGCCGACTATTGCTCCTGAACCGTTGATAATGAACTTGCTGCTGAAGTGAAGAGGTGCAAAATATTACTACAACAACAACAACATCAAGCCTTTTTCCCATTACGCGAGGTTGACTACTTAAATCCTTTTTTTTCATTGTGTTCGATTAAGAGTGAAATACTCATTTAAATATAATAAAGAAAGGGCATATCTAATATTTTCTAACCAAGTCTTTTTAGATCTACCTCTATCTTTCTTAACATAAGCCAAATCTAATACATCTACTCTCCTAATCAGGTCATCGGAGGACTGCGATTTTATGTAACCAAACCATCTAAGGCGACTCTCTCTAATCTTATCTTCCACTGGAGCTACTCCAACCTTTTCACGTATATGCTCATTTTGTATCTTGTCTCTAAGAGTAAAGCGCTCATCCACCTGAGCATCCTTATCTCTGCAATACTTAACTTAATATTATGCTTCTCTTTTAATGGCCAACATTTTGCACCACCAAGCATTGTAGGTTTCACCATCATCTTATAAATTTTTTTCTTGTTTGAGGGGGACTTTTATGTCTCACAACAAGCTAGTGCATTCCTCCACTTCAACAATCCAACTTGAATTCTACGAATAATATCCCCATCTATTTCACCATCACTTTGAACAATTGATCCAAGTTTTCTAAAATGTGTACTCTTATTAATGACTTGATTGCCCAAAGTCACAATCCCTCCACTAGATATATTACTATTAAAATTATACTCCATATATTTGGTTTTAGATCTACTCAAATGAAAACTGTAAGACTTTAAGGTTGACTTCCATAATTCAAGTATACATTCAACTCACTCTCTAGTTTTATGAACAAGAGGAATATCATTAGCAAAAAGTATACACTAGGGTACAACCTCTTGCAAATGTCTAGTGAGAACATTCATAACTAAAGCAAAAAAATATGGGCTTAAAGCTGATCCTTCATTTAATCCAAGTGAAATAGGAAAATACTTGATAACTTGTGTTTGAACACAAGTAATAGCTCTTGCATACATATCCTTGATGACTTGAATATAGGCATTATTAACCCATTTCTTTTCAAGAACTCTGCATAGCACTTCTCTTGAAACTTTATCATATGCTTTCTCTAAATCAATATATATCACATGTAGATCCTCCTTATTTTCTCTATACTTCTGCATCAAACCTCTCAATAAATGTATAACTTCCATAGTTGACCTACCCGGCATGAATCCAAATTGATTTTGAGAAACAATAGTATCATGCCGTAACAATAACTGAAATTATTAAGAGAAAGAAATGTGTTTTTGAAAGTGACCAAAATTAAATACTACAGTAACTTAGATTGATTATTGCAATGAGTGTAGTGAGTAAAACAAAAATATAACTTTTGAAGATTTATATGATAGACTTTAGAGGAAGGAGAAAATGGTATATATATATATATATATATATAATCAGAGTTAAAGATAATATGAGCTTAATAATGATGAAAATATTATTTGGAGAATTTATAAAGTTAGAGTTTTAAGAAAGAAATTATTTTAGAAGAATATAATTTACAAAATAATGAGTTGTATTATAAATTAATCTAATCTAAGATGTAAAATAGAGTAAGCTTTGAAAAAGATGAGTAAAAGCAGAGTTTTTGGTTCTCCTGAGAGATTCATGAGGGATACTATATGGTGAACGATTTTTTTAATTGAATTTTGAAGACCATGTGGATGCCAATTGATGATGGACGAAGCATTTTAGTACTAATATTTAAGAACATATGAGATGCTTAAGAGTGTGATAACTATAGAAGAATCAAACTTATAGCCATGGGTGAGAGTA